AATTGTTTGCCAAAAGTGCTTGACCGCCCTGTATTTAATTGGCATTTCCTTTATTTCAATGTGTCTTTTCTTCATGGCACCACTCAAAAAAGCCTGGCACTTGTCTTCTTTCATCCTCCCATCATTCCTCCCTGCCCAACCTCTCCCATGTGGCTTGATTGATTCCCAGTTACCACTTGCCTATCTTTTTCATGATCACTTCCTTCTCACGTTTTATGCTACATTTTGACCAGCAATGTGGTTTTTAGCATTTCTCTGGCAGTCCTACAGCACAGTGCCTTGGTCATCTGAGACAGTAACTCCAGATCTCTCCTTCCCCAATGGAAAAAACTGTCTTGTTGGGTAGTGAGGAAGGAGTGGGATATCAATGCTTTCCTCCAATGCCCTTAACAATATGCTTCACCTTTTGGTCAGCCCTGAAGTGGTCCGGCAGTGGGACTAGATGATCACTGTAGGTCCCTTCCCACCGATATACTGTATTTTATTCTGTTCTGAGCAAATGGTGAAGTTAAACCCTGAAATGTGCTTTTTTCTCGTAGTACCTCTTTGTGGCACCGGAGGCAATAAAAGACAAGCAACACTGCATGAAGGAAGGGCAATGGAGCAACAGGACATCATCCATGGATTTTGTGCTGCTGGGAATAAGTGATGCCCCCACACTCCAGAACCTTCTTTTTCTCCTCTTGCTTATGATCTACTCAGTCACCATGGCTGGGAACGTCCTCATCATTGTGCTGGTCCTCATCATCTGCACACCCCCATGTAGTTTTTCCTGGGCAACCTCTCCTCCTTGGAGACCTGCTACAGCTCCACCATCCTGCCATGGTTACTGGTCAGCTTCCTGACTGGGGACAGCACCATCTCTGCTCATCTCTGCATGGCTCAGTTCTATTTCTTTGGTTCCTTTGCGGCTACTGAGTGTTACCTGCTGGCAGCCATGTCCTGAGATCGGTACTTGGCCATATGCCAGCCCTTGCTCTATGCAAGCCTCATGCCCTGGAAGGTCTCTATATGTCTGGCAGCTGCATCTTGGCTTTGGGGTTCATTGTTGGTGGTAGTAGTCACAGTCTTCTTATCCCAGTTGCAGTTCTGTGGCCCCAAGGAGATTGATCACTTCTTCTGTGATTTTACCCCATTGCTGGAGCTGTCCTGCAGTGACACCAGCGCAGTCAGAATTGTCTGTTATATATTTGGCATGTTGGATGTAGTTTTTCCCTTCCTGTTCACACTGGCCTCCTACATGTGCATCGTAGCTGCCATCCTGAGGATCCCATCCGGCACAGGCAGGCAGAAGGCCTTCTCCACTTGCTCCTCTCACCTCACCATCATCACCATTTTCTATGGCACCCTCTTTGTTGTCTACATGCTGCCCAGAACCGCCCCGCTGAGGCAGCTCAACAGAGTGTTCTCCTTTTCCTACACCATCCTCACACCCTTGGTCAATCCCCTCATCTACAGCCTGCGGAACAGGAAGGTCAAGGAGGCCATCAGAAGAGTTCTCAGGAAAGCCCTGGCTTGCACCTAGAACTCATGCTGCCTGGGCGACACAGGCAAAAGACACTTCTAGCTCCTTGGAAATCCCTGGGTACCAGCTGGCTCTTCAGAACTGTACGCTGCTGAGGGCACTTGTGGGGTGGTGAGGGGAAGAAAGTAAAAGGTCTTTGGAGAGAAATATTGTTGAAGACACAATGTTCAAAATGTCCTGGGTTTGTTTTTTCTATGACAATAAATGCCTTGGTGGTCTTATGCGGAGGAACTTTTGAAGTGTCAAATTTTTCTTTTTTTGGAGGAGTTAAGAATAGGTATTTGGCCTAGTATGTGACTATTTTCCATTGTGAGGGCATTTTCTCACCATGGGCTCCTGGGATGGGATTCAACTGTCCCTGTGGTGCACATGTCAAAAGCAAGAAGCTTTCATGTCAGCCACTAGCGAAGGTCTGCTTTCATGGCACTGCCCAGGCAAAACAGGCCATTTCTATTGGGTGGCTCATGTGGGTACAGCCCTGCATTTCTCCTTGTCCTGAGCAGGCCCTGTTGCAGGCATGCCTCAGGATCCGGCTGGGGATGCAGTAGCTGAGCTGCTGAGCAAGAAGCGATTGCTTCTCCTGCTGCAAGGGGAGATGGAGAGGCTGGAGTGAGGGGAGCAGCTCCTCTTTCTGAGTGCTCTAAGAAGATCACCACCTGGATCTCTCTTCCCTCACATTTTCCTCCCCTGTTCCCAGAGAAATATGAGCAAGTGCCTGCTCCAGCTGGGCTCCTCTGGCTCCAGGTCAAGCTCCTCTTCTCTCTTCACCCTACACCTTCCTGGGCAGACTGTGACACCCACTCCCTTGCCCCAGCTCCTTCATCCTTGGAGGGTCATGCTTACCACCTCAGCCTGGAAAAAGTGGTGTGATTTTTGTGATTTGGCAGCCTTGTGTTCTGATACTCTTGGGCTCACATAATAATAATAATATGAACCTACATCTGAACACCTGCGATTTCTACTTCTGGTCTTCTTTTCCAGATGTCCCTTAGTCTATTTTTGTCTCCTGGGGAAGGGCTGGGGGCTTGAGTGCTGATAGCACACTGATGTGTAGCTATTGCTGTGCAGTGCTTGCACAGCACCAAGGTCTTTTCTGGTTTTCACGCTGCTGCCCCAGCGAGCTGGTTGGGGGTGGGCAGGAGGTTGGGAGGGGACACGTCTGGGACAGCTGTCCCGAGATGCCTGAAGGTGTACCATGGTCCATACCATGTAGCACCATGTTCAGCAAGACAACTAGTACTGGGGGAGTTTTTCCATGGTAGTCGTTGCCCAGGGATGGCTGGGTATCAGTCTGCTGCTGAGAGGTGGTCAGTGCTTCCTGTCACATCAATTGCTTTCCTTTCATTTTGCCCTGCACTTGTTAAACTGTCCTTAACTCAGCCCTTACATTTTTCTTGCTTTTGCCCTTCCATATTTCTGCCTCATCCCACTGCAGACAAGAAGGGAGTGACCAAGCAGCTGATGGGAATTTAGCTGCTGCCCAGGGACACCCCTCCAGTTTCTTACATTGTTTAACGAATGATGCACAAATGGACTTTCTCCAGGTGGGAATGAAAGTGGTGAGGGAGCCGTAACTGCCAGTTGCTGTGCCTGCAGTCCCCAGCAATGGGACATCCCCTGACCAGGGCTGGACAGTTGATAATATCGAATTCTCAGCTTGTGCTTTGCATCTTTTGATGCTTTTCAAGGAGGTCTCTGTCATGATCTTAATCTTAGAGTGAAGTGAGAGAGGAAATCTCTCATTTCAGTTCATCTGGGATCTCCAATTGAGAGACCCCAGTGTCTGCAGCACTCCTCTTGTTCTTTTGCTATTACTTTGTTAGTTACCAAGGAGGGAGAGAAAGAAGAAAATAAGAATATTCAGTGAGTAGTTCTGGGTGCCAGCAGCTGGGTATTAGTGGATTTCAAGTGATGTTTGGCATCTAGTTAGCTCCTGAACGATAGGGGTGCCCTAGATTTATGGCATCTTTAGGACTTGACAAGCACTTCAGTCTGGAAGAAATAAATTAGAACAATGCTTACAAAAATATCAAAACCAGAAACACGTTTTAAAAAAAATCTGCTGAGGTTGAAGGAGATGGCAATCCTTTCTGATTATGAGTATTTGGATTGGCACCAGATCTGAAATTTGCCAACGCAGGTTCTTTGGAAAGCACAAGAAAGTCCATGTGAAATGTAGACAAGGTAATTGCAGCCGTGGGGGTCAGCGAGCTCATAGCTGTTTAGGAAAGAAAGAAGGCTTGGAGCTAGGGCTGGTTCCCAAATGTAACACATTTCTAGAGGATTTTCTTTCTCCCTTCTCTTTGCCATGCATCCGCAGCGCTGGAGGAAGCAGCATGGATGGGCCTCGTGTGTTGAGTGAGAGAAGAAAGTTTTACTTTGTAGGATTGCTAACGGAACAGCAGATTCCCACAGAGAAATCTGTTGGTTCTACTTCAGAAAGAAGGGACCCATTCTACCTTCACTGGCACTGCCCTGAATCCAGCCCATATTCGGGGAGGTTTTTATCAGTGTGGAGGCAGTCTCAGTCAAAATGCCTCCTAAGTTTCCCTTAACCTCTTCTTCATTTCCCCTGTATCTGTGCTACATGGAAAATCCAGAATTGCTTTTACACCAAGTGATCAGGGAATATGTATCCATGGGAAATGCAGGGATGTAGGGATGTATTGCAGCTCAGCTGGACAGTGTGGACCTGTTTGAGGAGGAAGTGAGCACATGGGGTTGATACAGGAAATCGATGATTAGTTTGATTTTGTTATAACTTTAGTTTAATTTTGTTACTTAGCTTTGTAGCCATGCTGAAGCAGGGGTTAACTACTGACATTTAGTTTAGTTCTGGTTTTTTGTTCTGTTCTTCATAACCTTGCTAACGAGGACTGCTCTGAGCTCTGATATAGATAACAAGTTTGCAGCATCAGCTCAGCTCTACCGAAGGCACTGATAACAAGGACTTATTGTTGGAAAGAAGGAGACGTCTGGACTCTTATCACTTGGAAGAAACAACCATCCAGTTAGAACTGGCCTGGATGTTTGGGACTCAGCCAACACAGCAGTTTTTGAGCGAAAGATGAAAAGTACACCATGGCCTTTCCCCTGACGACTGCCCGACGACCACCCAAGACGACCACTGGAGTACACTGCGCAGGCGTGAGCAGGAGATCCCGGAGGCACAGAACATATACCAACCTCATGGAGTTCAACA